ATGATATAGGGCATATTAAAGCAGACTCTTCGGGTAATTTCCACTACAAGTTAAGAAGTGTTTTGTTCGCATAATCTGAATGAACCTCGTCTCAATTTTTAAGATCTCATATGATTTGAATTGTACTTTGAATCTTTTTTATCCAATCTCAATATTTCTAATCTAATCTAAATATTTCTAATTTGATTAAGTGTTTATTAAAATTATTATTACTGATTATAACAATAATTATCATTATCGTTATTATTATTATTACTACTATAGTACTACAGTGGAATTTCAGTTCAGTTTTCAGTTTCCAACCCGAACCGAACCCAACCATAGCAAGCAGTAGGGATGGAGCTGGTCCGGTCCGACCGGCCCGGGAACTGGCCCGACCCGCTACTGTGCGGGACTGGCCCGGCCCGGCCCAGGTGACTGGTACCGGGCTTAGGCCCGACCCGAGCGAGCAACCGGGGGCGGTTCCGAGACCTGAAAAATGAGGACCAGCCCGCCCGGTCCAGGCCCGGTCCGGGCTTTAGATTTTAATTATTTTTTTTATTTTTTTTTGTTTGGGCTGGGTTTAGGTGGGTTGGACTGGGTGTTTCCGAGGGGTTTGGGGGGTGGGGGTTGGAATAAATAAAAATAAACTGAAACCGGTAGACTTCTGGGCCGGTCCCGGGCCTTACCCAAAAACATCCAAGCCCGGCCGGGCCCAGGCCCAAACCGGAACCGTACCGGGCCCAGTCCACCCCTAGCAAGGAGTAACAAACATTCCCAGACCCACCCATACATACCTATTGCCATCATTATCGGCGCGTCCAAGTCTCCATAACGTGGAGAGGACTGCCTCGTTGTGAGACTATGAGCATCTTGTGAGTGGTATATCTCGGGGATAACGTGCATCCCGCCTCTTTCGGACAATTTTGGACCAACACCTCACAACCCATTCCGTATAGGGAAAAGGGGCAAAAACACCCTTGAAGTTGCCATCAAGGGAGGTCTAAGCCCATAGACTTATTTTTTGAGCAAAAATATTGATGAACCCCATAAAGAGGGCAAAAAAAACCCTTTACCTAACGGAATAACTTAATAGAATATGCAACTGTTAATTTGTTCATCACTTGACTCTGATGCTTGCCGTATATACAACAAATAGTAGTGTGACAAATACTAGTGTTCGTATGTTTGATATTATATTTCAGTTTGTGCTATACTGAAGAAAAATCTGGAAGATTTTGATCCTCAAATTATCACATGTGCTTGACATGATATGTGTTACTCTCCACGTCCCGCTAAGATTGTCATATTTTTTCCTTTTCGAAAAATGCCACTAAAATTGTCACATTTCAAATTTGATAAAGTTTGTTTGGCTCTAAACCATTTTTACTTTATTCTTGTTTTATCAATTCAATATCAACCATATAAAATCATTTTTTTAATAACTGTGTCACCTTGTCATGTTCCAATGTTAGTGGAACAAATGTAGTACTCCCTCCGTCCCCTATAATTGTCCCATTTTTTTCTTTTTTGAATGTCCCCTATTATTATCATATATCACATTGGTAATATTTGTGTGTCTCTAATTCATTCTTACTTTATTATCACTTTATTAACTCCTTATCAACCACATAATTCAACTCTTCTTAAAAACCACATCACTTTCTTCCGTCCCAATAATCGGGGGGGGGGGGGGGGGGGGGGGGGGGGTAAAAAAGAATTTCACTAGTGCTTGACATTAACAAATACTCCTTACAAGACATTTACTCTATCTGTCTCGAAAAGGTTCGCCAAATTGATTTTTCTTAATAATGACAATCCAATTTAACCAATGATATTTTTTTATACTCTGTAAAAAATAATTTAAAATATGAAAATCATATCAAAATGTTCTTTACTAAAAAAATCATAAAAGTATATTATTTATAAGTTATAAACAAATAGAATAATTAAAACCATTGTCCAAAGTTTGCCATCATTGACCAAGAAAAGTCAATATGACGAACCTTTGCGGGAAGGAGGTAGTATGATTTAATTTTAATTTTATAATTGTGGCGGGACAGTCCGATGGTGGTGGCGGCGACAGCGGCAGAGTTAGAATGGTGGCAGATGCATTCCGGAAATTTTCGACGGATCCCGGCGATCGGCGGCGGGAAAAAGCGACTGTTTCATTGGCAGCATATCTGTAGGCGGAGGTGGTGGGCGGAGGCCGGCGGGTAGTAAAAGTGGGCGGAAATAGGCAGCATTGTTGTGGCATGTAGTTGGTGGCTGGTCCGATGATGTTATATTTGTCCAATAAATCGAGTACTACATGGGTGTATTTGTCCAAAAATACATAATTACTTCTATTTAGAAAATTTAAAACATCTGATTTAATTTTTGCATTTAGCCCATATTCCACTCTTATTTGAGGAATCCAGTCTTTTGAATTTAGTTTACATTGTCTGAGACCCGTTTAATTAGTGTCTAGTATTTAATAGTGTTTGATATTTTACAATATCAGAGTCCATATTATCTAATAAGTATAAATTAAACATCTTAAATTTAGGATTTTTTGGAATAATATAAGTATCCTAAATCTCAAGAAATAATTACATAAATATGACCAAAATAAAGATGACTTACAAAAATATGATTAGTTACTAGAGTAGTAATAAAATCATAGTAATTCGTGTTCAAATTTTGAACTTAAGTTACCACAAACTACGTTGTAGTAATGAATAGTCATATTTATATAAATAAGTTTTATTTTAGTAATATTCTTGTAAAAAATCAATGTGTTAATAGTTTAGTGTTTAGTTTTCCAAATAAATATAAATTAATTTAGATTGTTCCCATTTTTCCTTTGTTGTATATATACGGCCTTATAATAGATTATTAATAGCCAAGTGACAAAACGGTTGCATTCTACTCCGTATTAAATTGTTTCCCTTAGGTATAAGTTGCTTCCGTTAGGTAAAGGGGCATTTTGCCTAGGGATGGACTCGGTTCGGTTCGGGCCGGGCCCAGTTCGGGCCTTGAACCAGCCGGGGCTCGGTTCAAGGTATGGGAGGCTTGGAACCGGCCCGGGTAAACCCGGGTCCGTTTCGGGCCGGGTCACCCGCCCGGTTCACGGGCCGGGCCTTAGAATTATATTATTATAATAATTCTTATTAAAAACAAAATTCAAGTGCATTTATTTGAAATAGGAAGTACATTTGAAAATTGAGAAAATAATAACAATATGAAATACATTTTCTAATAAATATCAGTTGGGATTTCCGCCACCGTTGGTTGTTGTTTTGCCTTTGTCACATGACTTCATATGTTTTATTGGCATCCCGACTCCGTGTGAACGCCCCAAACAACACTCTTTCCTGCACCACTTGCAAGTTGCCCACCACAGTCCGGTCTTCGGGTCCTTCCACTTATCAAAATTGTTTTGCATAACAGAAGAATTACTTTCCATCTTTAAAATGGTAGATGTATAAGTAGAAATGTAGGATAATAAGAGAAGATGAAGATAGAGAAGAGTTGGAGAAGAGTTGGATAAGAGGTGTAGAAAAATGGTAGAAAATAGATGTATTTATAGATTTTTTTGAACCCCACCCCCACACCACCACCCCCGGGACCCCCCTGCCCCCCACCCTAAGCCCCAACGGCTATATAGCCGTTTGGGAGCAATTTTGTATTTCAAAATGTTTTTAATTTATTTTTTGAAAATTATACATATTGTAAAATAAGTTAATTAATTTATTGAATTAAGTAAAACTATTTTTACTTAGAAAAGTGATTTGATTTATAATTTACAAATGTTACAAAATAGGTGTATAAGTATTTAAACAAATTACATATTGAAGTTGTAACTTGTAAGTTTGTAACCAATTAATTAATTTACATATTAATATTACATATTTTAATTTAAAAACAGCCTTTAGATTTTACAAAAATAATTTCAAGTTGTAAGTTATAAGTTTGTAACCAATTAATTAATTTGAGAATGTCTATCACGCTCCATCTTTAGATTAACTACTTTTATAAAATATATGAATGTGTATAAGTCTATATAGTTTATATAACTTGTAAGTGTATTAAGGATCAAAAAAAAAACTTGTAAGTGTATTATAAGTAATATATAATATAATGTTTATAGTATATAATATATAAGTATATTACTATAAGATGAGTAATACACTTATACTTAATATTTTAACATATATATATAAGTATATATTAAGTATTAACTAAATGTAATATGTAAATTTAAGTAAATAACAATAGTATGGATAATAACTAAATATCAAGTAAATATGAATGTGTATAACTATATATAGTATATATAATGTGTAAAGAATTATAATATGAATGTGTATAAGTATATATTTATAAGTAGATAATTAATATATAGGTAGAATAGTAGATATAATAATTATATAAATTATATATATGTAGAAAGAATTTGGAGAAAATGAAGAATGAAGATGATTGAATATAAGAGATTGAGAGAATAGAGAATTAGAGAGTAGGAAGAGTTGTAGAAGAAGAGGTGTAAAAAATGTATAGAAAATAGGAGTATAAATAAGTTTTTTTTGTATACCCCACCCTCACCCCACCCCCACCCCACCCCACCCCACCCCCTACCCCCCAGACCCCCCCTCCTATGCTCCCAACGGCTATAGAGCCGTTTGGGAGCTCTCCCAACGGCTAGAGAGCCGTTTGGGAGCTCTCCCAATGGCTAGAGAGCCTTTAACCATTTAATTTTTTTTTTTTTAAAATATGACCGTTGAGGCCCGGACCGACTGGGCCGGTTCACTAAATATCAGGCTCGGGCCCGGACCGCTATCCCACCGGGCCGGGTGGCCCGAACCGGGCACTAACCGGTTCACCGGGCCGGTCCGGGCCCGCACAGTAGCGGGCCGGTCCGGTTCCGGGCCGGTTGGCCCGGCCCGAGTCCATCCCTAATTTTGCCCCTTTTCCAAGTTTCTTAAAGATTTTTGCTCTAAAATTAAGTTCATGGGCATAGATGTCCTTTGGTGGTAACTTTAGGGGTGTTTTTGCCCCTTTTCCCTTCCGTATATACTTTTACACACAAAATAAATAAATCAACAAAATTCACATTTTCACTACCCTGAAACACTCGGTTACAAATCAGAATCCCATTAAACCCTATCTCTATTCTTTCTCTATTGAGTTCTCAATTTGTGTATGGTCATTGGAAAAGAAAAACTTGAATAAAAAAAATAAAAACCCAAAAACTTGCAAATGTTAGCTCGGAAAGGAGAGGTTTTCAGCATCTGTAGAAGGAGAATCAATGGCGTGAAGGCTTAGTCCTCTTGTTCGTCCTGGTGCTCCGCCCTTGAGCAATGATAAGTCCAAAATAAACCTGCATATGATGGGGTAAAAACGAAATTAGAGCCCATTCAGTGCATGCTTGGTTACTTTTTTCACCCAGATGTTTTTTAGAAAACACCACTTTGTTTTGTTCAAATAATCTAAGACTGGTTGTATGATAAAATTTAGCCAACTTGGGTGTGAGAGATAATTTTGAGGGTAAATATTACTGGTATATCCCTCCCCTAATTTTCATCTCACTGCCAGTATTTTCTGAATGCCGATGGCATACCTTTTACACATGGTGCTTCCCTTTTCTGCAAGATCCCAGTTTATTAGTATCTTCTTCTGATCAACAATTGAAATATGACTCCCCATGGGCAAGTCGGCTAGTTTTGGACCTGTGTTTACATCCATGGTAATTTCATATTCATAACCCGAGCATTTAAAGATTCAACATCGCATCTAGTCGAGATGACTTACTTGTTTTATCTGGGTTCTTGAGGCCTTCACCAAGTCCCAGTATAGCCTACACCAATTTGAAGGTGTAGAGTCAAGTTAAGACCAGGTCCTAAACTTTACATGATAAAATTCAGCTGAACACCATCTAATAATAATGTTGGTTTGAACTTCAAAGGCATTATATGAACTAATAATGTCTAAGGCTTTGTTTGGTTTAGAGAAGAATACAGACGAAAGAAATGGGTGAAAAAGTGACGGAGAAGAAAGAGATATTTGAATAAATGGATGATAACAAGGTAGGAGTGTAGGACCATAGGATCCACCACTTTCATTTCTTTCCTCACCATTTATTTTCACCACAACAACAACATTACTCCAATGCCTCAAAGGCTCCTACCTATGGTGAGGTAGGAGGGTCAGCCATACCCCATTTATTTTCACGCAACTACAAAATTCTTCATTTGTCCCCTGTTTCTTTCCACTTCGGATCTTCCTCTTCCATTTTACCTTATACCAACAAAGCCAAGAGGTCTGTTTGGATGGAGCGTTTTGGAGGGGAATGCTTAGTTAAAATATTACTCCGTGATAAATACAGTAGCATGTTACTAAGTACAAATAAAAGGTACTCTCTCCGTCCCGTAGAAAGGTTCACACTTTCTTTTTTTGGACGTCCCTTATAAAGGTTCCCATATCTATTTTATGAAACAATTAACAATCTTAAATGACAATTTAATCATTAAATATTTAAAATAATACATTTATAACATCACAGTTATCAACACAAACCCCATTATATTACATACCTATAAAATTACTTTTCAAAATATACTTGAATATACTTCAAAATATTGCCATGGGAACCTTTTAACGGGACAAAGGTATTATAAAGTTTTAATACACGCGAAGGCGGGTATAAAGTTTGCCCTCCAAATCGTCTTCTTCCAAAAAGACCCAAGAGTACAAGAACAAAAAAAGAATAATCACCTTGAGGGACTGGTAGCAAATTTCAAGGTCATCGTTGACTAAGAAATGATCAAAGAGGCCAGGGGATTTCCCTTTCTCAAGCTCTTCTTTAGCATTCCGGAGACGCTTTTGGATCTGCTCTTCGGTCTCGGTTCCCCTAAAATTAATTAATTGCAACAAACAAACAAAAATATTAAGGAAATCAGTTAAATGAGCGGAAATGCGAAACAGGGGTATAGAATAGGGCGCATCATAACAAGGCCTATTCCCAACCTTGCCCGAAGGCGCTGCTCAAGCTTTTCAAATGAAGGGGGGGTGATAAATATGAAAATGGCTTCCAGAGAGCTAGCCCTCACAGACTTTGCTCCTTGAACATCAATATCAAGTATGCATCTCTACACAACAAATACACAATATATGCTTTCAACATCACAAAAGTAACAATCCACTGCAGTTATACATTTCTATGTTCGGAGTGCTTAAAATTGTAGGGAAAAGAAAAATGGGAAATAAAATGCTCTTGTAATTTCATATGTCTGGTTTTGCATTATAAAATGCATTGGAAAATCAAATTTGATAAAGGGGAAATGGAAACTAATAATCCAACCTTATAGTGGTCTTCTTACAATAATCCAACCTTTTGGTTATTCATGAATAATCCAACCTTTGCATCTCATCTTCATTCACTGGTCCCTGACCGGTTGATGACCTGCTATTCCAAGCTATTTTCTTATCTTTGCAAATTATTATACCATAAATCTCATCTTTCACAAAGATAATATTTTGCAAAGATAAGAAAATAACTTGGAATAGTAGGTCATTAACCGACCAGGGACCAATGAATGAAGATGAGGTGCAAAGGTTGGATTATTCATGAATAATCAAAAGGTGGGATTATTGAAAGAAGACCGCTAAAAGGTTGGATTATTAGTTTCCACTTTCCCTTTGATAAATACTTTCTAAAAAATAGTAGAAAACACTGCTTGAAGTGTTGTTGTGTGACTCAAAGGTGGTTCCAAGTCTCGGAAGCCGCCTCTTGTCAAATATTGACAATGGAAGGCTTGCCCTCTATACACCCTTGTGGTGGGACCCTTCCTCAGGCCCTCGCCTTGTGGGAGCACCGATGTGCGTTGGGATACCACCAAGTGTATGTATGAAAGAAATACATAGTACATATTAATAAAAGAGACTGAACAAATATCTAAAATTTATTCTAGCGTGAACCAATTCTTTTTCTTTGCGGGAACCCCAATGAGCACCGGCCTGCTGCCTAGTGTACATGCGAAAGAAATATATATAACTATATAAGTAAAAGAGATTCTGCAAAAAAAAAAAAGTAAAAGAGATTGAAAAAATATCTAAAGTTATTTCAATGTGAACCAATTCTCTTTCTTTCAAAATTTCCCACTAATTCCATTCTCGTTTTTTTAGGCAAGCAAATCCCGAGTTTCAAGCGGACCCTTCATGAATCATGGACTAAATATGGAGCTCCTACTCCAAGTTTTACATACACAAAATACAGACAAGAGTGACCCGGATCGCTTCCAACAAGTATTATACACATTCATTAACTAATCGAGATTAGAATAAAATTAACATAAATTAATAATTTATATAAAGAATAATACTATCGTAAGTTATAAATGCACCACACAAACCTTTCCAGAATCAGCAACCACTTCAACAGCTTCTACACTAGTTCCGTATAGATTTCCATGAACAGTGGCATACTCAAGAAACTTCCCATCCCTTATCTCTTTCTCCATTTTACTTCGCTCGGAAAAATGGTAATGAACACCATCTTGTTCCTTCACTCTAGGAGCCCTGGTAGTATGACTAACAGAAAATCCGAACATGGACGGAAATTCTTCCATTAATTTGGATATCAATGTCCCCTTCCCCACTCCAGAAGGACCACTGATAACAATTGGCTTCTCAGAATGACCTAATACTCCTTTGCTCCAGGCTACCACTTCTGTATCAAAGTTCTTCTCCTGTTCTCTAACAAAAGGGGTATTCACCTACATATAAGTCAAAAACCATTTGTATGTAAGAAATAAATTTAGGCCCTGTTTGGTAGCAACAATCAGCTTGTTCTGGTTATAAGCAGAATAACTAGCTTTTGACTCCTTATTTGGCTGAAATAAATTTAACACTACGCTTTGCCTACAGAACATTCTGAAGATTCAACGATTTCAGCCAAACAAGACTTGCTATACACACAATTAGTGAATTGTGCCCATTTTCTACAAAAGCAAACAAAAAATATCCATATTATATAGCAAGGATACACAACCTATAGTGCAATTCTTATGAAATACTTCCTCTATCCCAAAATAACCAGTGACGTGTACTTTTCTTGGTCAACACATTTTAGTTTTATTTACTTATTTAGGATATCAAAATTTAATATATTCTAATTTGGATTTTGCGATTTTATAGAACTTTCATTTCTGAATATGTAAATTTTAATTATGAAAACTGATTTACTATCAACATAGAGAATTTAACTTTATTGTAAATCAAACTTAAAACCTGCAGACTACAAATCAATTTGGTACGGATGAAGTAGTAAATTTGTCTGATGTAGGATAAGCATAGTGTATAAAAGATTGTGCTAAAATGTTAAAAACAAATAAGGACGGATGAACCAACCTCAAGAAACCAAAAGCAGTCAGAGAGGGTTGAATTCTTCATTACAACCAATACCCTTTCACCATTTAAAATCAACGCTGAGAAGCCCTTATTAGATGCCTTGGGGGTGGTTCCCAAAACAACTGGGTTTATCCTGTAACCAGTACAAGATTTTGGTGATCCATAAAGAATTAATTATGTTGCTCACAGCCAATAAACCCACACAGAAAGCTCACCATTTTCCAATGAAATTTTCATAAATTTGAACTTCAATTGTTGACACTGGTTCAAGATCAGCTTCACCACTAAGAACATACTGATAAAAAGAACATATTCTTTAATCTTTACACTATGATTTGTTACACACAAGTAGTAAAAAAGAAAACAGATCATGTAAAAACATCAAATCAGCATGTTTTATTCATCATACTGTTTTGCTGCCAATATCAATGGCTTTTTTGTTTTCCTTGGACTTCAAATCAGCTCCACCGTCACAATCTCCAACCCAATTTTCTGAAACAAAAGCTGGAGCTTCCCCCTATAGGATTCATAACAGATCAGATCAAGAATTAGTAGACATCTTCTTACTTCTGCTACACAACCTCGTGGGGTTAGGGAATTCCTTATGTAAGCTTACCATTGAGATTGAAGGTTCAACCTCTGAACTTGAAGCCTCTAGAGTTCAAGATTCCACCTGATTCACCATAAGGAATGAGGTAGACATAAGAATCACACCCTTAATTGAAAATAAGAAAATTCCTCAGCTTTAGGTAAATCTTCAAAATCAGAATACGCGTTTATGAAAGTGTGAACTTAAATATCAAAGCATTGACCTTAAATAATCAGAATCTGATTCTTTAAATAATTAAAGCCATCATTTTGTATAAAAACGTAAATGTTGAAATATTCAAAAGAAAAATCATTAAACCCACTGCATATTGCCTTGGGAAAATCTAAATCAAATATACAAAAGGAGAACATGATTCATCTCAAGGTCTAAAGTCGTAGCATGATTCACAAAGGAGAACGAATGCGTAAAAAACGAGTCAGAGAGGCGAGCAAAAATATAGAAATTAGATATTCTCGGTGACCCTTTATGGCAGGAGAATGGAGGAGGGGGTTTAGTGGAGTTTCTACAATGAAGAAAGGATTTTATTTCAAATTGGCATTGAAGTCCACAAACAAATCCTCCAGATTTCAAAAGGCAACAGACATAGGATTGAAAAAGCCAGTGGCTAAGGAAGAAGTAGAAGTCATGTGGAAGTTAACAAAGACTTGCCATATTTGTAGGCAAATGTGGGTTGGTTTCTTTTTCACACTCGGCTTTCCCTCTTCCACCCTTACAAATGTGGGTTTATTATTTTCCATAGTTCCTATTTATGAGGATTTTTTAATAATACTATTAAAATAAGATTTAATTACAAAAAAAGACTAAAGTTATTATGAGTGTCATGTCATAATCATTTTAAGTGTAAAAACAGACCATACATTATTAAAAATGATTTGCTCCATATAACATATGACTGTTTTGTTAAAACTACTGTGTTATGATATTTACCAAAAATGTATTTATGAAATCATTAAAAATTATTGAACTAAGCACCATGTAATTATGTAAATGAACAGTGTTGTCTTTTACTCTTTATGGATAAGTGAAGAATTTCAGAATTCAAACAAGATCTAGATTTTGATTTAGAAAGAAACTAACGATATCCCAGATTGATGAATTTATGTTACTCTTTGATAATATAAAAAAAGTGCACCATGATGCTTAGGGGAAATGTCCTTAAACAACCAATGAAATTCCACATTGATGTATTTCTGTTATTCTTTCAACATAAATGCCAGAAAAACTTGGCCTTCATAAGATTATACGAAGTATATTACTACGGTAGCTGTGACTTTGTCAACTATACTTAAGAAAGTAATGAGGATATGTTTTTTACTCAAATAATAAAACTAAGTGAAACAAGTCTAATCTCGGCTAAGACTGAAATAAGTCCAAGTGAAAACATCCTAAAATCAAATGATGTTAGGCCGTTTATTCATGTTTTTGACTAAATAGTTTTCAATCAGGATTGTTTTTGCAATTACCATACATAAAAGTTAAAGACAACCGTTTTACCACACGAGTATAAGAAAAGTTATTCTCTAGGCAGATTGAGCAAATTTTGAAAAAAGAGAGGCTAAATTAAGAGCAGCATCCCAAAGAATAAAACTCTTTATAGCAGTTTGTGTAATTTGAAGGACTGCATTTTATATGCCATACAGAAGCATATTCAACTCGAGTAACTCAATCTATTAAAAACATATTAAGTTACTCAAGCTCTATTAACTGAATGTATGGACCTATATGACATACTGAAATCTATACAAAGTAGAAGCTCCCTTCGGAAAAAATATAAGCTGAAAGAAAAAGCATTCCAAAAATTCTTTAGAAGCTGAAAGGAGATGCCAGAACAATAGAAATACACTTTACTCACAGATCATAATTGAAAAGTGCTTATATTTTAATGTAAAAAATTATGCCTTGTGCCGGCTCACCCTTGGAAGCACCCAAACGTCTGCACACCTCAATCAATTTTGAAATTGTACCAAGTCCACAGGGAGGGAGAACCGCAGGTAGGATTATAATGAAAGCAGGTAAATTAAAGAAGGGTTGCGGGCGTTTATAAAATGGGAAGAATCGGTGATTAACTTCTTAGGGTTTATTTAGTCGAATTAAACGTTTAGGATTAAGACAAGATCGAATACATTACCTTTATTTAGGAGGGAAATTGCTCGCCGTGCTTCGGTGGTCTGAGTCAGGGAGCTTCGTCCTTGCCTCGTACAAAGCCTTCCAGATCTGAGCTCGTGCCTTTCATGACCGTTAATTTTGGAGATATTAGCCAAAATAGGACTAAAACAGTTTGGAAATTCCAAAATAGGACTTCCATGTTTTTATTCCCGAAATAAGACTAATTACTGTCATGTTTTGGCAGTACCAGACTTTAAACATGACAGTATTTTCCAAATTTGGCAGTAATTAATCCTATTTTGGGAATAAAAACATGACAGTCCCATTTTGGAATTTTCAAACTTTTTTAGTCCTATTTCGGGAACTTTCCCTTAATTTTGTCAATTTAATAATTTTTAGAAATACTAGTATATTACTCGTGCTATGCACGAAACAAAAATTAATATAGTTTGTGTATCCCTTTCTTTTATAAGCATGAATATTGTTAGGGATATAATTGTCCTTAAAAATATGTTCGTGTCGCTTGGTGCATTGGCCGATTGTACTCACGCATATTTAGTGCAAGGGTGCTGTGGTTATTGTCGAGTAAAGGCTGACGGAGGTCAGCTACGCGGTTTAAACCCAATATACTATGGAGTAGTGCACATTTAAACCTTTCTTGTCTCTCGCCCTGATTATGTCCGACCCTCCCTCTTCTTCTTTACAGTTCACAAAGTCCTGCGCCCAGTCATGTTATGAAACAGCCATTTCATTTGGATGTCGTCATAGAAAAGCAAAATTTTCTCTACCTTCTTCTCCAGCCGATGACTGTAACAGCATCCTATTGCAGTACTGGTACACTTCGGGCTCCATTCTCAAGCCTATAGTCAAGATCCGCCAACCCTACCGATCTGAGTCCACTCTTAGGATCACCAACAACGGCCTTGACGAGGTCAAGTCATGGCGTGTCTTCTTCCAATTCAAGTCATGGTGATTGTTTGAATTTATTAGTAATTCTCCAATCCAAGAGTGATAGATTCTTTGATTTTAAAGATGATTAGTTTCCAAGATTCTTTATATCAAAGATGATTAATTTCCGATTCCTCAAATTTTAAAATTGTTTCTCTAATCGAATTCATATGCTAAATTCAGGTGTGATATGATGGCGGAGTGTGAATTTGATTTGCACTATGTTAGCCTAGGAGGTGTATTTAACCTAATTTATTGATTTGGTTATTCAGTCCTTTTAATAAGAAAATCATTACTTATGTATTTTTATTTGAAATCACCTGATATTATACTCCGTATTATCTTAAATCATTTACATGAAGCTCACTAGGTTTATGTAATTTACCCTATTAAAGCTCATACGTCTTAGCTTCCTCACAAGGAGGTATTGAGCCCAAGACAAAATGGATATACATTGGCAGCAAACCTAGGCAATTTCTCAAGGGTATACCCGAATGCATCCTTGAGCGGTTCTTTGCAGAAAAAAAGTCAAATAGGAACTGCTTTCTAGCTTTTTATTGTAGAAGGACCTGTTCCACTTCACTGTACAATGTTTTGTACGTGTACCAAAAGAAACATTTGAGGAAGCAATAGGAAGCAACAAGTAGGACATCATGTTATCATTTGTTTGTGTCTTTGAACAGAAAAAAACAACCCAATATTACTAAATATCAGGCACTTGAAATTAGCTTTCAGCTTTTGATGTGTTAAATTGCTTATTAACAAAAGTTATTTCATAACTTCATAAGTTTATCTCAAATTTAGTTACATCAATGTCTATATAAATAAATATTCTCCGGTATGTATTTTGTCTTAAATTAACTTATTTACTCAAATTTACTAGGAAAAGTGCTTGTTTCTTTTGAAATGAAATTAGGGAAAATTATGATTAGCCCCCTGAGGTTATGCCATAATTATTAATGTAACCTTGCATTTTAAAAAATCAATTAGTTACCCCCTAAGTTTTGATTATTTTCACCGTTTGCCCCCTCATGTTAATATTTATTAAATTTAATTTAATATAACTCTTAAATTCAATAAAAACTATCTATAAAATTAAATTTTAAAGTAAATCACAATTTATTATCATTATAATAAGTCATTGTTGTTTACCGTTATTTTTATACTTAACTACTCAATCGTGGAATAATGAAAGTAGTTAAGGGAAAAGACTCACGAGTAATATATAAAATATTATGAATTTATATTTTTTATTTTAAAAAATTAAATATCATTTAAGCTTATTAAATTAATAAACTATTTTTGAAGAAGAAATCATCAAAATTAGTAATAAAATTAATAAAAAATTAAACAAATGAAAATCTATGATATACAGAGTATATTTTAGTTCATAGATCGATAGGTTTCATTTATTCAGACCTTATATCGATACATTTTTGTCTTTTAGGTCTCTTATAAATGCTAGATCAATCTTTTAGGTCATGGATTGATAAAATTCATTTTTTCTTGGTTCTTTGCTACATACGAAAGAAGTGTTATTGAGATTAATTCGCCCGGATGAATTACAAATAAGACTTTTATATTGATGATGAAGAGGTGTATATAATTTTGATAACACATATTTCAAATACTATTTCTTTTATGTATCCCATGAATATTACTCAATTAAGACTCTTCTACCTTAACTACTTTGATCAATATTTATTCCACGATAGAGTAGCTAAGCAAAAAAATAACGATAAAAAATAATGACTCATAATTATGATAATAAATTGTGTTTTACTTTAAAAATTAATTTCACAGACAATTTTCATTGTATTTAAGAATTATATTAAATTTAATTTAACAAATATTAACATGAGAGGGGCATATAGTGAGAATGATCAAAACTCAGGGGGTAACTAATTGATTTTTAAAAATGCAAGGTTGCATTAATAATTATGGCATAACTAATTGAAGCAATTTTTACAGGCCTGTTAAATGGTATACACAAGTAATTAATTTAAAGGTTATGAATGCAAAACCTATACTAATTTGTAGGTTATCGTACATGTATGTAGATAAGAGTAACAGTGTTTATGATATTTTGGTGACATATATTCATGAAACATTAGAGATAGACATGTAAATCTAATATTCTAATATATTTAAAAAAAATAACTGTTCTTAATATGAAGTTAAAGGATCTCGCTTAGATGGTTGTATTACATCTTTAAGCTTTACACTAAATCATATACGAGATAGGAGTAGATAATTTATTGTTAATGTCAGAAAAAATGTTGTCATGGATGTCTATTATTACTCACATGACAATCTCTTAATCGAAAGTTCTCAGGTACCTATTATTTCTTGGACTTCAAGCTGTATTGAAAGAACTAAAGTATCTTTTCTAGAAAAGGGTTGAAACGTGCTTTGTAAGTCTATTTGATGGAGTAGTAGAGGTAACTCATACTATCCTTTTCACTTCTTCATAGTCCCTTCCAAATGAGATTATTATATGCACACAAATATTATAATTTGCTTTCTCACTATTAAGTTACTTTCAAGGTTCAATTGGCTCTTTGAATATTAACATACTGTCCCTGTTCAACCTGACAGTATAACTCCAGGCAACTTCATCAACTTTACTTCCACTGATTTGGCATTGGTGAAATGGTCTATTTTCTCTTGCATGGCTTCTTTGGAGGTGGAGGGGATTTTATTTTTGTTCTGCCTTTCTATTTGGTAGTCTCATATTTGAAAACATCTATATGTTTAGTTAAGTCATGTCTTTTATTGATTTGCAAACACCTATTCTAGTATAGTTCAAGGGAAACTCTATTTCAATAAACTATATCCACCTGTAAAAACCACAAGTAACCTAGAAACTTAGGCTATGACAAAATGACTGAAAGTGAGCATTGAAATAAAAAATGTTCATGTTAATATATGGTATCTAATTATTTTGTGTTTTGCTGAGGTTATTTAGATTTCAGTTAAAAAATTAAAGGTTCATGGACTAAGAATATTAAGACTTAGGGGTACATTAGATTTCAGTTGCAAAAACCGTATTTGAAAAATCATATCTACTCGTAAAAATGGTAATAAGAACCTAGCTAGAAAATAAGATCATGACCTAAACATTCTAAAAGTGAACATTAGAATACAAATGATCCTGTTAATTTTTTTCGCTACCCACAAAAAATGTAATTATTGGGAAAATGTGTGATCAAAATTACTGGGACCTGCTAAAATTACTATTTGTGCTACTATGATTATATTGTTTTTCTTCATCGGTTAGCCCACATGATTCAGTAGGTGAAATAATGTCAAATGTGTGATCAAAATAAAAAAGTAATGGGGTAATGATGATCATGATGATGAAAGTGTTATTTTTAATAGGCGCCACTAATGTTTACACGGTAGTTACCAAAATAGTATTTTTGCTACAAACTATGCTTCATACTTTTTTCCCATAAATTCCTATTTATCGGTAATATTTTTTTATGAGTATGCATTTTCTTGAAATCCAGTTGTTAAGATGGAAAATTCTTCTACCAAAATGACAAGCTCCCATTGAAAACCATGATATATCATATGTCCATTGTATGACTCTTTAATTATAAACAGGTGTACCCCATCTGGCTTTGCCCAAATAGATTTTACAGGCTCCCGTTGAAAACCACGATATATACGGAACCTGGATTTGAGCTGCACAAAAGGCAGGATGACACGAGCTATGCCCAAATGTACACTGATATTGGAGTGTACTACGCACCTGGCCCTATCCTTAGGAGTGAAGTGTTTGACGGTGCATTGGCAGTGCGACATTTGGAGAATTGGTTGATTGAGAACCACGGGTTCCAACCACAATATGTTTTTGGAGGATGTTTGATGTTGGGCCTCTATGAGCACTGCAGGCGCAAGTATAAAGTCATAGGCACCTTCATGAGTGTGTACTAAAAGTCAAAGAAGGGAAAGAAGACAGTGAAGGAAGCACAAGTATAAAGTCATAAGCCCCAATGTTATTTGATTAATTAGCCATAAACTATTGGAGTTTGGTATTGGTTCATTGATTTATGGCCATTTTGTTTCTGGAGTTTCTATTTGTTTGGCGTTGGTTCTCTCTTTTTTACTTGTGTGTGAGTGATGTGGGTGGCTTTTCAATTTACATTACGGTCTGAATGCCAGATTGAACTAATTCATATTTATAATATTTGCCACA